CCCCAATGTGTGGGTTTTCTTTTTACTCTTTTGGTGAAATCTTTTGATGCACATAAATGTCTAATTTTTAGTATGTCCCCATAATCTATTGTGTCTTTTTGTATCTGTACATTTTTAGTTATATTTGATAGTGTATTTATGCCTTAATGTGGGGCCCTTAAGTTTGTTCCTGTTTTTTCTTTGACAGTCTTTATGGTTTTAGATTTTACATTCAGGCCTTTGATCCAGCTTGAGTTCGTTTTTGTGCATGGTGTTGAGATATGGATCCTGTTTCATTTTTCTGCAGTGGATATCCAGTTTTGCCACCACCATTTATGAAAGAAACTCTCTCTTCCCAATTTAATGCATTTTAGCCCTTTGTCAAAGATTAGCTGTCCCTAGTTGTATAAATTTACTTCTAGGTTCTTAATTCTGTTCCATTGGTCTATGTGTCTGTTGTCGTACCATTTACCAGGCTGTTTTAACTACTGTGGCTGTATAGTAGATTTTGGGATCTGGGAGCTTGAGACCTGCTACTTTGTTCTTCTTCTTTACTTATCTGCGGGTCTCTTTCCTTTCCATATAAACTTCGTGATTATCTTTTCCAATTCCTTAAAGAAAGATGATGGAATATAGATTGGAACTGAATTACATCTGTAGATCGCTTTGAGTAGTGACATTTTCATGATGTTAAGTCTTCTTATCCATGAGCTTAGAGTATTCTTCAGTTTATGTAGGTCTCTTTAGTTTTCTTGGCTTTTTGTAGTTTTCTTTGTATTCAAAATTACAATAGATTTATTCCTTAGTACTTCATCTTTTAGATGGTTATTGTAAATAATATTGCTTTCTTGGTTTCCTTTTTGGCATTCTCTTCATTGTTGTTGTTGTTATGTGCCATTGAGTCGGACCTGACTCATAGTGACCCCTCCTTGGGTTTCCAAGGCAGTATCACTACGGAAGTAGATTGCCCAACCTTCCTTCCTGGGTTTGAACCACCAGCTTCTGGTTAGCAGCCATGCCTTAGGCACTATGCTACCAGGGCTCCCATTCTCTTCATTAGGGAAAGGAATCCAAGTGATTTTGTATGTTGATCTTGTGCTCTGCTACTTGCTGAAACTCTCAATTAGTTGCAATAATTTTCTGACTGAATCTTTGGGATTTTCTATATACAAAATTATATCATTTACAAATAGAAATAGTTTTGCTTCTTCTTTGCCAGATTGGATGCCTTTTGCCCTTTATTGCCTTATTGCTCTTGCAAAGACATCCAACACAGTATTGGATAGGAGTGGTGATAAAGGACTTCAGTTTCTTGTACCTTGTTTCTGTCTCCTCCATTGAGAATTATGTTGGCCATTGGTTTTGTGTATATGCCCTTAATTTTTTTGAGGAATTTCCTTTCTATTCCTTTTTGTTCAGTTTTTTTTTTTTTTTTTTTTTTAAATCAGGAATTGGGTGTTGGATTTTGTCAAATGCCTTTTCTGTGTCAAGATCAGGATTATTCTATAGAATTATAGATCATTACATTTACTAATGTTAGCCAGGTACAATTCTGTTTTTCTGGTCCCATTGCAAAGGAGCTTACGTTTATGGTAGCAATACTTCCTCCTCTAAGTCCTGATTCTCCCTTTATCGCTGGTACTCCTGTTGTGGTATAAAGAAATGTTGTGATATCTTGATGGCTGCTCATAAGCTTTTAAGACCCTAGGCACTACACAACAAACTGGGACAGAATGAGGTAGAACAGAAACATTGAAAAGCAGTATTAGGCCAGTTGTCTGAGATGTCCCATGAGTTCATGACTTTAACCTTAAACCTCCAAACCACCCCCCCCCAAAAAAAATCCCGTGAGGTGCTGCATTAGCAGCAGCATCATCGTCGTCTTTTTTTTTTTGGGGGGGGGGTGGGTGGGTAAAATATATATTGCATGTTATCGTTGTTGTTATGGGCCGTCGAGTCAAACCCAACTCATAGCGACCCCTCCTTGGGTTTCCAAGGCAGTATCACTACAGAAGTAGGATTGCCCAACCTCCCTTCCGAGGAGTGGCTAGTGGGTTTGAACCGCCAGCTGTCTGGTTAGCAGTCAGGTGCCTTAGCCACTATGCTACCAGAGCTCTTATTAACTCTGCACTGTTCAGGGGTATTGTGCTGTTGCTGTTATGTGGTATTGAGTCGGACCTGACTCATAGGAACCCTTCCTTGGGTTTCTGAGGTGGTATCACTATGAAAGTAAATTGCCCAACCTTCCTTCCAAGGAGTGGCTGGTGGGTTTGAACTGCCAGCATTCTGGTTAGCAGTCAAGTACCTTAGGCACTACGCTACCAGAGCTCCCTGTTCAGGGGTACAACTTAGTGTTACTGATGATGGTGGTATGGTGGTGTGGTGGTGTGGTATGTAATGTAGACATTGTCCACCAGAGGGCACAATCATTTTGTTTTCTAAAATGTCAAGGTATCTTAACCATGAGTAAAGCTTTATCTGTGTGTGCTGTATGTGGAAGCACATACCAGATGGCCTTTTCTTCACTGAACTTGACTATCCTCAAATCAAAATCTTAACAAACTACTTTATTAAGTAAAAGAAAATTCAAGGCTATAGTTGAAATCGTTGAATCTTTTTTTATTTTTTTGTTGTGATTTGGGTGAAAGTTTATAGAGCAAATTCATTTTCCATTCAACAGTTCATACACATTTTGTTTTGTGATAATTCAAAAACAGTTGCAGCAATATACTGACAAAGAACTTCCAGAAATGCAGGCTGGATTCAGAAGAGGATGTGGAATAAAGAATGTCATTGCTGACATCAGATGGATCTTAGCTGAAAGCTAAGAAAAGATGTTTACTTGTGTTTTATTGACTATGCAAAAGCATTCAATTGTGTGGATCGTAAAAAATTATGGATAACAATGAGAAGAATGGGAATTCCAGAACACTTGATTGTACTTGTGAGGAACCTGTACATAGATCAAGAGGCTATTGTTCGAACAGAACAAGAGGATACTGCATGGTTTAAAATCAGGAAGGGAGTGTGTCAGGGTTGTACCCTTTCACCATACTTACTCAATTTGTATGTTGAGCAGATAATCCGAGAAGCTGGATTATATGAAGAGGAACGTGGTATCAGGATTGGAGGTAAACTCATTAACAATCTGCAATAAACAGATGATACAACTTTGCTTGCTGAAAGTGAGGATGACTTGAAGCACTTACTGATGAAGATTACAGACTACAGTCTGCAGTATGGATTATACCTCAATATAAAGAAAACAAAAATCCTCACAGCTGGTCCAATAAACAGCTTCATGATGGATGGAGAAAAGATTGAAGTAGTTAAGGACTTCATATTACTTGGTTTTACAATCAACACCAGTGGAAGCAGCAGTCAAGACATTAGATGGTGTATTGCATTGGGCAAATCTGCTGCAAAAGACCTCTTTCAAGTGCTGAAGAGCAAAGATGTTTCCTTGAAGACTAAGGTGTGCCTAACCTAAAGCCATGGTATTTTCTCTTATGCATGTGAGAGCTAGGCAATGAATAGGGAAGACTTGATTGTTTTTGAATTTTGAAGAAGTGATGGTTTTGAATTGTGGTGTTGGAGAAGAATGCTAAGTGTACCGTGGACTAGTAAACGGGCTAACAAATCTGTCCTGGAAGAAGTGCAGCCAGAATGCTCCTTGGAAGCGAGAATGAGCAGATGTCGTCTCACCTACTTTGGTCATGTTGTCAGAAGGAACCATTTCCTGGAGAAGGATATTATGCTTGGTAAAGTGGAGGGTCAACGAGAAAGGGGAAGGTCCTCAACGAGATGGATTGACACAGTGACTGCAATGATGAGTTCACGTATAGCAAGGATCGTGAGGCTGGCACAGGATTGTTCTGCTGTGCATAGGGTCGCTATGAGTTAGAGACGACTCAGTGGCATCTAACAGCAGCAGCAACAACAACAACAACAGTGTTTTTTTTTCCAGAAATTATGTGCAAAACCTTTCCTTATCACAATACATGTAAACAGTGCAAATTAAGGCAGGAGAAATTGTTAGATCTTATGAAATAGATGGTTGGTGTGAACAATTCAAGCACCACATAGTACTATGGTTAAGGCATTGTTATGGGGCCGTCTGCTTCCATAAAGATTTACTGCCTCAGAAACCCAATTGGGGTCACTGTGAGTCAGAAGTGACTTGATGGCTGTGAGTTCGGTTATGACTTTAATTGCCACTTTCTTCTTATAATGGAATTTAATGAATTATATCATTTAAAAAATATATTTAGTCATTTTTTTGACATCCTTTGAGATAGTTATTTGGTTTTTGTATTTTCGTCTGTTGGTATAACATTATATATTAATACATTTTTTAATGTCAAACAGCCTTGCATTCCTGGGAAAGCAACTTGCTGTTCTCTTTTTAAATTATTTTGTGGAGATCCTTTCAGTTGTGTGTGTATATGTATATCTCCCTGATTCTTTTTAATGGCTGCTGTACTTTTCTATTGTATGAATATAACATAATTTATTAAATGGTTACCTTGTGCATGGGTTTCAGTTTTTACTATTAAAAACAATGTAGTAATGAGCAGTTTTCTACGTATACCTTTATGTACTTAGGTTAGTGTTTCTGCAAGATAAATTCCTGGAAATGTTATGCATTCTCATTATTTTGATTACATGAAATTAATTTTAAAAAGTACTTAGTTGGTTTAAAATCATAAAACGTTACTGGAAAATATACTACCATATTAACAGTGTTTGTCACTGAATTACTAGCTTATGGATGATTTTTTTTTTAAACTTTAATAATAAAAAAGAATGGAACTTACTTTAAAAGACTGTTTATGGAACCAAATACTATTTTAGAAAATCTGTAATTGTGAGCAGTTGGAAGATAGGAACTGCAGTCGTTCTCAGGTAATCATCTAGTGTAATACTAAACATGAAACAGATTTCAGAGATATTTTTGGAAAGGAATTGAGTTGATTTATTGAGTAAAATAAAGAGATAACTTGTTGTCAATTCTTTTTCAGGGTTTTCTGATTAACTCAAAACCAGAGAATGCCTGTGAACCCATAGTGCCTCCTCCACTAAAAGACAACTCATCTGGCACTTTCATTGTGTTGATTAGAAGACTTGATTGTAATTTTGATGTCAAGGTACTGTTTGCCTTTTTTTTTTTTTTTTTTAAACTTTTTTGTTACTGTGTTTTCAGTCTAATTTATGTTCTCCCTTGTTTAGGGAAGGATGTAAGACACTTTATAAAATTCATTCAGATTTAAGAAAAAGGGCTGAAGACATAAAAAATAGGAAATGACAAGGAAATGGTGAAGATAAGAAAGATAGGAGTGGGGTTACTAACGCCCTCTGGGTAGCATAAACAGTTAGCACTTGACTGTTAATCTAAGGGTTGATAGTTTGAACCCACCCTGTGGGGCAGTGGAGAAGGCCTGTAATCTTCTATAAAGATTATAGGCAAGAAAGCCCTATGGAGCAGTTCAGCTCTGTAACACCTGGGTCACCACAAGTCAGAATTGACTTGACAACAACAGGTTATGTTTACAACAAATTTACCTGTCAGTTTCTTAGCACCCAGTACAAGAGGGAGATAATATCGGTTTCATGATTTATATTTTCAGTAAGATTGAAAACAGACAAGTTGACTAAGATATAAATAATTACTGTTGGTTCTAAGGATTTTCAGGTTGTGCATCTTGAACTGTGATTTAATAGTGGAATCTTGCTTGATCTGATATGAGAATAGAAAATTTAACCCTTGGTCTTATGCCTTGACTATAGCCAAACTCAAAACCAAACTCAACTGCTATCGAGTCAGATCTGACTCCTAGCGACCCCTCCTTGGGTTTCCAAGGCGGGATCACTATGGAAATAGATTGCCCAACTTTCTTTCTGAGGAGTGGCTGGTGGGTTTGAACCACCAGCCTTCTGGTTATCAGTCAAGTGCCTTAGACACTACACCACCAGAGCTTCTAATGACTGTACAGGGGTTTGAAAATGTAGAGCACTTTGTAAATGATAGGTTTTTTTTCTCTTACATATTAATTTCCAGATCTAGACTCTAATCAGTGTCTTTCAATAGGAAGTAAATTAGTGCTGGAAATCAAGTGCAGTAAATGTACTCCTCTTCAGAGTTGCTTGTTGTAGGACTTTGACAGTAGTTCAAATTTAAACTAAGGTAAGATTTGATCTAGAATAAGATAGTTACAGATTGTTGCAACTGAAATGAAATATTATTGCAGCATTTCATTAATTTCTTGTTGCTAAGAAATTAAGAGTAAACTATTATTCTGCTGGTTCCAAGATTTATTGATTCCAAGGTAATTTCTCTCAGTAGGGGAGCTCTGGTAGCATAGTGCCTAAGGCACTTGACTGTTCGAACCCACCAGCCACTCCTCGGAAGGAAGATGGGGCAATCTACTTCTCTAGTGATACTGTCTCGGAAACTCAAGGAGGAGTCGCTATGAGTCGGGTCCGACTTGGCACATAACAACAACAACAACAGTGTAACTAGAAACTAGAAAGCTTTTTTTTCCCCAAAATAAAATTTTTAGGTGAGGATGGGAGGTGGTTTATTATGAAATTCAAGGAAATACTGTCACTAAATACTAGTTTTTGATGATGAGAACATAGGTCAGGAATGAATAGATCGGCTTGTTAGCCCTTCTGTCCCTTCTTTGGGTCCTAATCATCAATCTAAGTACTTGTAATGGAAATTTATAATTTAGCCATTGCTTCAGCTCATGTCTTTCTACTTCCTGCCTTGAATTTTATGTTCCAGCCTTACCACCTGCTTGAAGTCTCTTAACTTGGCTTCACCATGCTGACCACCCCTTTGTGTTTTTACATATACTATTTTCTCTGAGATCTCTGTCCCAGATGACCTCTACTACCCATTATTCTGTTTTTATTATTTAAGTGCTAGTTGAGGATTTACCGCCTCTGGACGCCTTCCTTTTCCTCTACTCTGTCTCTGGCAGAACCAGTCATTTCAGCTCAATGTGTCACTGTTTCATCACTCAGTAAATAATCTTCTTTATTGTACTTCATCACTGTGTTAGTCTGGATTCTCTAGAGCAGCAAAACCAGTGAGGTATGTGTATATATATATATATATATATATATATGTACGTATATTTACTTCAAGGAAATGACTCATGCATTTGTGAGAAAGTGGTCCATGCTGTTGGGGAAGCTGCAAGTCCCCAATCCATGGGTCAGATGGTAGGCTAAAGACCTCTGCTAGCTCACGTGGTTGTAGGGGCTGATGAACCCAAAATCTGCAGGCCAGGCAGTAAGCTAAAGACTTCTATAGGCTTATGTCCCAGGAATTGGAAGTTAGGTGATGAGAAAGGTGCAGGGTTCAGGGGGGAGGAAAGGAAGGGGGGAAGGGAAGAGGAGAGCGCTTTGCCAGAACATCTACTCACATGGATCCTCTGTCAGTTTGCTCCATTCTCATCTCCATTGTTTCAATCACTTGAGAAAGAAATTTTACTTAAAATTTCTTTTTACCTCTTCAGACTGAAAAGGAAGGTCATAGCCAGGTTTGAGAAAATCTATTTTGATGTCTACTGTTTATTTCTTTACTCCATTTTCTTTCCTTATTTTCTAGCAAAACAACTTTTCTCTTCTGTTAAGTATCTGTATTGAGACAGAGGGTAGTTTGTGTCCAGGCTGATGGTCGACTTACTGTTGCTTTGTATTGGCAATTCTGGAAAAAACAAGAAAATCCATTTTCTAGAGAATTTTTCAGTTGACATTTTGGAAGATTTAGAAGCAGAGATAGGGTCTCTTTTCTATAGATCAGTCATGGAAATCTACATAAGTGTAGGCTGGAGAGTAAAGTGAAGCTCCAGTTGTCTCAGATTGCTAGAACTGCCAAAACCAGGTCATAAACATCTGTGCTAATTTTTGTGGTTTTGATTGCTCTTTATGTTTTTTAAAATTATTATAAAAATATGGTAGCTCTGGTAGCATAGTGCCTAAGGCACTTGACTGCTAA